GTTCCTTTTTTTTTTTTTTGATGCTTCCAGGACTCTGGAAGCACTCTATAGGGATGTAAAAGGTCAATGGAAGGAACCAGTGTGTGGTGGAGGATGTGAGCATCCAATACTCCCAGAAGTGTAAAATGCCGAAGAGGCTTTCCAATAGAGGTGCACCGAAATGAAAATTTTTAAAGCGAAATAAAAAAAGAAATTTTGTTTTTGGTTTTTAACTTTTTTCAAATTTTTTTTATTTATTTTTTATAAACATTTTCATTTTTGTATATTTTATTTATTTTTTATTAAATATTTGTCTTTTTTACTTTACTTTTAGCGGCTTCTGGGAAATATTGGGGGGGTCTAAACAGATCCCTGATATTTCCCTTTTTAAAATAGAAAAGTGTGTTTACTATATCCACAATCATGAATGAACAGAAAGTGATGTAGATCACTTCCCATTTATTCTTATTTGGGGACACAGTAAACATACTTTGTCCTGAATTATTTACAAACACTAAGCGATCACTATCCATCCTGTGACAGCTCTCCATACTGGATCGGCTGTCACAGGAGGCTGAGCGAGGCTGAGGAGAGCTTGATATGACAGCTGGCTCCTGTGACAGCTGTCACCGCCCACACACTGCTCTCCTGATCTCTCACAGGAGGTTGAGCGGTGCGGCAAGGAGAGACGCCGGCTTTGACTGAGATCTGCGGGTCTTGCACTGTGCAGAAATTCTGTTGTTCACTGGTCTTTTTCTCTCATCTCGTCCATTCACAAAATGCTTTGCGTTCTGTTCATAGAATATTAGGCATTCTGTGACTGGAGAAGGGCAGAGGAGGGGGTCATTAAACGACAGGCTCTCCCCTTGTCTGTTCACAGAATGGATGAAGGAAGAGGCAAAGGGAGGGTGGATGACAGAATCCCTACACTGTACAAGCCACAGTAAATGCTGAAGAAGAGAACTGACAGAAGTTTCAGTGAAGCCAGCATTTTTACAGTAAGGCCCCGTTCACATTGCGTGATTCGGGCGTTTGCATTTTGCGCGATATGGCGCAAATGCTTGCATTGAGCAAGTGAGAATCGCGGCAAAATCCACTCCAAAAAGGGTCCTGCTGTAGCGACACACGACCCGCGACAGCAGGACCCTTTGCCCCATTGAGATGCATTGAAGAGCGATATCGCGCGGTAAATAGCCGTGATATCGTGGGAATTACTGCGCGATAAATCGCTCAATGTGAACGGGGCCTAAAGAGCAGAGATCCATACGTAGCATTATCATCATTCACTGGTTAACTTGTGGTGTCTGCAACAAAATCCCTGACGTTCCCCTTTAAAGGCACAGCAAGCATAAAACAGAAACCCTACATTATGTGAACAAACTCTTAATACTGTAAAATGTTTAGGGCCTAGTCACAGGCCTAGGTGTGGTAAAAATGCACATGTTACTATGCATGAATGCAGCACACAGCAATATGCATACTGTTGTGGTGCCATTATTATATCATGGCACCCAGTGCACTAATACAGCAGCGGGTATCACATCCACACTGTAGCACAACACATTGAGTGCCTTGTGGTGTACTGTATTTAAAGGAAAACATAGATCATGCCCATTGTGCATTGCCCAGCCCATTCAGAATTAATTGGCTGCCTAAGGCAATGCATGGCACAACACGCATTATTGCAATGGAAAGATGCCCACAAAGCTATATATGTATAAATGCCTATACATAAACTCTTCTGTCTTAACTCTTAACCCGCATAGGCAAAAGGGTGTCACAGAATGACAGTTTGTATTATTTCCCATGGGATTTCTGTGTGTAAATCTCTTTCCTCCATCACCTTAATAATAAAATATTATGACTTCTTAGAATCTGGAATATTTAAACATTCCTCTATGAATGTTATTAAAACCTCTTTTACATAATCCAGCGTGTAATTTATGTTTCATGACCCTTTAAAGCTATGCTGGAAACTCTAGCAGTCGGGCGTGGTAGCATTTTGAAGCTGATACTTCCTATAGAATTATCAAAGAGGTTTTAGGAGAGCAGGATCATATCTACAGAATAATTTCAAATCAAGAATATGAAATGTCACGTTTAACTTTAGGATATAATTATCAAATGTCAAGTAGAGAACGGTCTTCTCTCTCTATAGCCTTTTAATCCAGTAAAGTTATGCGATTCGCTTAACTTGCAACTGTCTGCTCTATATGCCATTTCAATTTGATATAAGATCACATGAATGTTGGAGTCTGCTTGATAGCTGACCTGTACAACCAAGCTGGTAAATGTTCAAACTGAAATGCTGCTAGTTTTACCTCTACGTTACCAGGATCTTTCTACCTTTATGACCATTTAGAATGAAAGTTAGAGAGAACCTGTCCCAACATCTCATCACCGAATTAGGATCAGGCCATGTAGATGCTAATTAGCTTATTAGTAACAAGCTGTATGGTGCATTCGGGGCACTCTGTAAGATACACTGGACATGCAATGTTCCCTTTTCCATGAAGAAAAGCGAATGGGACCATTCATCATATATACAGTGCTTCCACATGGTGGCCAAGTCAGTAAGGAAATTGTGGCATGTGCCATTGATGTGAGTAATGACAAGATGTCTTCTTTGCCCATTACTCTTTGTAACACGTCTGCCCATCTGTGGCATTGCTAAATGTTCTATTGACTCGGGTTCTTTTCAAATCTTATGACCTTTTCTTGTGTTCTGTTTTCCTTTTCTGTCATATCTACCCTGTGATGAAATCCATGCTCTTCCTGCGCTGTGCTGGTATTCTGCTACAATTTTTCTTTGATGTACCAGGAAAAGCTGAGCCTGTGGTGGAGAGCCTCATTCCAGGACTTGAGCCTCCTATGCCCCAGCGCCTCTCATCCCAGGCCGACTCCATTGCTTCAAATCGTACAGGTTGGTTGTGGGCTTATTAACAGTGATCTATATGTAGAGGGTAGATACTGTGTTTCTTTGTATGTTGGGCCCAAGTGATCAGAGGCAAATCGTCCAAATGTAGAGCAAAGTCGACCGATTTCATTTTTTTATTCCTGTCCAGCACTATAAAAATGCACTATATGGCCAAAAGTATGTGGACACCCCTTCAACGTCTTGAGTATATTTGTTTCCAGTGAAAGGTTCTGTTGATGTTATGACATACTGTACAAGGAAATTGTAGACGATTTTGCACTTTAAGAATTTGAAGGATCTTTTTTGTTTAGCATAACTATACCTGTGCACAAAGCCAGGCTCATAAAGACATGGCCTGTAAAGGGGCCCTGACAAAAACAGCCCTAATCAACACTTTTAGGATGAATTGGAACCTCAATTGTGGTGCAGGTCTTCTCTTCCAACATCAATACCTGGCCTCACAAATGCTCCTTTGACTGAATGGCCACAAATTCCTTCAGTCATGCTTAAAATCTTGTGGAAAGCCTCCCTAAGGCTGGGTTCACACCTGGGCGTTGTAATATGCACGTCAGACGCGCGGTTTTCGTGCATTTTTCTGTCCACGAAACGCGCGTTTACGAAATGTAATATGCAGAAGTCAATGGATCCGCGTGGAAATCCGCCCCAAAGAAAGCTTCGATCAGCGCTGAAAAACGCCCAGGTTGGAACCCAGCCTATAAGAGTGGAAGCTGTTATAGCTGGAAGGGCAGGGCAGTGGGATGTCCTGCTTGTGATGGTCAGGGGTCCACAAACTATTGAATATATTGTGTAATAGCAGAAATCTGGCTGATTTGGACTAACTGTATCCTTAGCTTTTTTGGTTAATTAAATGGGTGCTGCTGACATTCTTTAACTCTCTGCTTTTGCTTATCCACAAAAGCCATATTTATAGGCATATGGGGTACAGAAATATTGATAAGCATTGTAATGTGTAGGATATGTATACCACTTAGCTGTTTAAAAAGGTAGTGATGTGCTATCCATGACAGAAAGGGAGTGTAGGAAAAAGAAGTCAGATTAATGTATCACCTTATTTATGATACCCTACAACAACCAGCCAGCTTCAAATCTTAATTATTAGAGGTGGAATCTGAACGTTTGGTTGATGTTTGGTAGCCTGTGCCGGCAGAGAGCCCTGACAGGGGAGGGACTGGATTCCCCCCTCCCCTGTCTTATCCTCCAGCGCTGACTGGCGGAACGGACGGGGGAGGGGGCGGGTACAGCTGGCGCTCTGCCTCTAGATAGTCAGAGCCAGCTGTCACTCACGCAGCTGGGCGGATCCAGACATAATTGTCGGGATCCGTTCCGGCTGTGGCAGTCTCAGTATACCGCGAGCTGTAGCTCGCGGTATACTGAGCTTTGGGTGACGGGAGGACACTAGTTTGTCCTCCCGTTACCCTTAGGAGAACTATGGGGAAAAGCACTGACCCCATAGTTCTCCTTTAAATAATCCTCTAAAATAACAAACTTCCTTAAAAACAGGACAGGATGGTGGTAAATTGTACAATCAACCTGATGTTAAAGAAAACCCGTCACAGAAGAAATACAGAAGTCACTATTTGTGACCTTCATTGGAAAATTCTAGTTACCTGGCTGTCATGGAATATGAAGGTGATCGCACACTAAACTGCTGCTCGTATTGGTATTTTGCGAAGATCCAAGGGCATGCAGAAAGCAGGATCATTAGTGTCAAACCCGCAAGAGGTTTCCTGCCTTCTTCCATTTAATAGCGATCTATTTTAGTTTGGTGTGTGATTTGTATTAATATTCAAGTTCAGTGTGGTGGATGCAGACAAGCCGGATCTGCACCCTCTATGCTTCGAGCTGTATGCAGACATTCTTACCTGGAGCAGTGGATTGGTTACCAGCAGGACATATTTGAACATGCATTATTAGTGATCGCTACAGAATTATCTGTGAAAAGTGGATCAAAGGGCTGTTGCCCATTACAACCATTTATGTATAATCTTTCATTGTGAATGCTTTGTGGGCCCTACTTGGTGCTTTGGTTGCATATATCTGAGTTGTTTTGCTGACAGTGTCCCTCCTCTGGCCTCTGTTTCCAGCACCTCCAGAGGTTAGTAATTCCTTAAACAAATCAATATTCTTCTGTACTAACACACTGCCATCTTTTTAATGCTGCACATTGGGATCTCCAGATTCCCTGACTGGGGAGGACTCTCTTCTTGACTACTCTATTTTATCTAACCCTGCGGCTGACCTACTTGATGATTTTGTCCCTGTAACTCTTTCTGCTCCAACATCTGCAGGTAAAGCTCATGATAATTTCTATGGTACCTGTATGGAATCCATGTTTCTCTTGCATTTCATCTCTCAAGCTGTGTGTGTGAATGATGGTATAGCTGTGTGCTATAATCATGCATTTTCTGTCTTTTGACCTGTTCAATGAGTGAAGCTTTCCACATGCTTGTCATACTAAAACATTTGTGTGATTTATATGTGAGGTAGGTATTCCAAGATGTGGTGATTTTTAGATTTTCCGGGAAGCAATTTAATTAGAATTGCATCGTAATTGCTATTTAGGATCTGTAGACTCTTCACTATTGTCCTGGGACCAACCTTTGCATATGATAAGAAACCGTGATGATGTGGAAACTGTATTAATCTACAGCACACAGTCACCTATGATTACCCAGAGAGATTACACCTTCGGCTGCAGTAGATGGCTGGCTATAGTATCCTGCACTTTATAGGACATCTCTACACTGATTAAATTATCTGGTAGGGGTTTCTTTTTTACATTGTCCCTGCAGGTGACGTGTAATATTGCTGCTAAATCATTTAGGAAAGCCTGTAAGTACTATTATATTTAATTAGTCAGACTTCTTCTGTGAGATGTACCCAAGAGTAGGGTGAAGGCCACATGTTGGAGATAACCTTTTTTATCTTTGTCGCCATACCATTCATTTCTACAAAAATCTTCCCATAAGATTTTATGTGCATTTAGTGTATTAATGCAGATTATTTACCTGTAAAAGCCTCCCTTATGTAGACATCCAAGAGGCCTCAGACTGCTGCTGGGTGCCACCATCTTGTACGTATTGTGAGCAGCCCTGGTAGATTCAGAGCGGTCACTTAGGTGACACTCTAGTATTCCCCTTTTGCTGCTCCCCCAGCAGTTGCATAAAAGGTTAAAGGAAGAGCTAGGCCAGCACAGACAGTAAGTGGACACTCCCGTATAAGGAGAGGGCTCTGCACAGAGGGAGAGTGCTGTGCTAGGTAATTGACTGTTTCTGGATTTACATTTTGCATGTGAATAATCATTTATGGAAAGGAAAAACACTGAGCGTAAGCTTTTAAATTACTTGATTTGCTCTTTACTTTTACCTGCAATTTTTTTAATTGGTGGCAGGGTCTCCTTAATGAAGCAGAGAAATGCAGGCATTCTCCCAAAAAGCCTAGAGATAGATGAGAAGTATAGGAGAAAATGCAAATAAGTGACATCCAAATACTTTTAGTAGTTTTAACTCAAAAATTACGTTTCATTGTTAGATATAGATTAGTAGTAAATAGGATCTATGTACTCGTATAAGGTTGAGAGAAGCCCGGCTAAGGGTCAAGCGACCTGATATAGCACTTGTGGAGAATGTCTCCACACAGATATGGTGGGTGGCTGCTCTCTGTTCTCGTTGGGGTGTTTTGGATGATATGCATACCCGGTGATTTATTATGATCCGCTGTGCGCAATGAAGTGAGAGACTTTGGCCCCATCAGGGAGATGAGGCTAATAGAGAAGCCCATGAGAAAAGAAGCAGCTTGAAGGCTAGAAGGCATGTATTTATTGATCATACAAAAATACAAAAAGTGGTTACAGTACAACACCATCAACTTGTTTTGTGGCCTAAAACTGGTCACTTCTTTAGGTTAGGTGTACAGAACACTTCATGGTAGCACAGGACCATGTGCGCTGTGGTGGCCTGGAGTATACTCACTTCCCTTTTGTTACCTTAAAGGGGTTCTGCACACCAATCCTGAAGAAGTGGTTATTTTTATGCCACAAAGCAAGGTGATGGTGTTACAATCTTTTGTATAACCAACAAATACTTCCCTTCGAATGAGAAAACCTCAAAGTCTGTTCTTTGACCATGAACACCTCTGCTAACCTCATCTCCTTTTTGGAGCTAAAGTCTCTCCAATTAATGAAACCGCTGCAGGTAGAAGAGATCCTTCTATATTACACAGGGGAGAAGAGAAGCCATTATGAAGTTTTTATTTAAAGTAGAATGGTATAGGCTGAACTGTATGGCCCTTTGTCTTCTTTTAACCTCACCTACTATGTTACGATGATAATGCCACTGTGCTGCTTCTGCAGTAGTACAGTATGCATAAAATGTCTAATGCATTAAGAAGTTGTGCACCCCTCATTATTGGTGCATATACAGCAACACCTATTCGAGCTTAAAATGGCTGCCTGCAGTGGCTATAGGGGAAAAGTACTCTGTGATCTGCAAAAAGCAGCTGTCATTCGCATGCACACCTCTGGTCCAGGATTCTATGTCAAATTATGTGTGTTTTTGTAATCTGGAATCTGTTCATCGCTGACAAATTCCCATTCACTTTAACGTGGGGAGAAGTCTACTTCCATTGCGAACCTATTTTTATTCAGGCCTTTCATCACTGGTAGATGCTTTCTTTTCTTGTTTTTAGTAAAACAAATTAGTTGAGGGCCCTTTTTTTCCTTAAAGGAGAACTATGAGGTGAGTGATTTCCACTCACCTCATAGTTCTAAGCCGACCTGTGACAATGAGACTGTCACAGGTCGGCTCAGTAGATCGGGAGGTGAGGGAACACATACCGGGTTCCCTCACCTCTCGATCCTGTCACGGCTCTCTGCCGTGACAGGGGCAGGGGCTGGATTCCCCTCTCCCCGCTCCGATCTGCCAGCGCTGACTGGTGGAACGGACGGGGGAGGGGGCGGGTACAGCTGGCTCTGCCTCTAGATAGGCAGAGCCAGCTGTCACTCATGCAGCTGGGCGGATCCCGTCATTTAAGTCGGGATCCGCTCCAGGTGCGGCGTCTCAGTATACCGCAAGCTGTAGCTCGCGGTATACTGAGCTTAGGGTAACGGGAGGACGCTAGTTTTGTGTCCTCCCGTTACCCCAGGGAGAACTATGGGGAAAAACACTGACCCCATAGTTCTCCTTTTAACATTACTATTTCAAACTGGTGTACTCCATGTATCAGTCCTCCTTCAGACAATACTTTTTTTGACTCTTATTTGTTCACCGCTGATAAAACCAGCTTCATAATGTAGGTGGATCACCCTGTTATATATTCTCCAATAGATAATGTGTCAGATGAAATGAGGAGCTTCCCAGGGTTCTGCTGGACCTGCGTCCGTATTCAGTCCTTGCATAGATATCTGTAGGCAACTTCAGCACTCCAGTTGTGGTGAAACTACAATGACAGACTCTGACAGCCACAGGCATGATCGTGAGTCACAGGCATGATAGAATTTGTAATTTCACCCCAGCTGGAATGCCGATGATACCTACCCTTATTGTAGACTCTAGATCTTAGGAGCATTTACTCATCTATCATGGATATGGCACCTTGTATGCGGGTAATGTGGGGTACCTTATTGTGATGTGAACAACTAAATCCTGGCTGGTTTACGGCTCCCTCTGCACTTATAAACATATATGTTTATATATTAAAGGATACTTCCAGTCAGAATCTAAAGTGAAACATAAACAGGGTTATTCACAAAATGGTGAAGAGTTTGGAGAAGGCAGGAGAAATGAACCATCTAGGCCAAAAAAGCGGATTTGGAAACGATTCTCAATTCAGCTCACTTTCTGGTTCAGTTTCCAAACTCCCATCCTGCCTGAAGTTTCTGGCAGGCCATGTGACCAAATACCTTGGCATTAGTTACACAAACTCTGCTGAATGGGAGGAATAAGGTTCAACCAGCAATGCTGATTGGCAAGATCTGTCTTAATGTTAGTCTTCTAAGTTCTTTCAGCAAAGATTATGTCATGAATGCTTAGACATTTGATTACATTACAGGCACTATATATTAAAGCTGAACTCCTGGCAGATATAAAAAAAAAAAACAGATTAATGCAGCTCCTATTAAATGTATTTTTAAGTGAATCAAGTATTCAAAAATTTGTTTTCATATCAACCCTCTGTAATCCCCTGTACGGCATGACAGAGTTGGAGGTGGAGTGCCAGCCCTCTGAGCCAATAGGGTTCTGCAGTAATACATATGTGTTGTCAATGATCAGGAGGATGGAGCCAAGGTGTGGCTATAGTGGTTGCTATCTTCTTAAAGGAGAACTATGGGGTTAAGGCTTTTCCCCATAGTTCTCAGGGTAACGGGAGGACACAAACTAGCGTCCTCCCATCACCCTAGGCTCAGTATACCGCGAGCTGTAGCTCGCGGTATACTAAGACGCCGCAGCTGAAGCTCGACAATTATGTCTGGATCCGCCCAACTGCGTGACAAGCACTCACCTCATAGTTCTCCTTTTAATCTATTTGTGCTGCTGCAATAGAGGTCAGGGGTCTGGTTGTACTGTCTGGCAAAGATGCCAGGATCTCAACATTGGCCGCAGAGAATAACATTCTTCTGCAGGTAAAACAGTTTCCGCCTATGTATGTGAACTGTGTATGTAGCTCCTAGCCAAGAGTTGAGCTTTAAAGAAGCATTCCAACAACAGACTTCCTGTTTCCGGCTTTACAGACTGTCGATATTGTGCACATAGGCTGTGACTTTGCAAGAGGTGAAGCTCAGCTGACTTTCAGCATCCAATCATGTGCAAGCATAAATACTGTGGTTTTTTTTCTTCATTTTCCATACATGTGCTTGGCTAGTCTTTTTTTTAAATGAAGTTTCACCACATTCACTAAGCTTGGGGAAAATTCCCTTGGCAAAGTAGACAGCCTGTTTGCCTTTAGTAAATCAACCCCAAATTTGTAATGATGATCTTACTTTGGGAATGCCTTCCAGTCTGGTAGGGTTTGTATCTGGATGAATACAAACACTGCTACAAACTAAATGATAGAATTCCCCAGCAGCTTTACACGTCTGGTCTATTATTAGTCATGTCTTTTTTTCCCCCCCCAAAAGATCTGGTGCACCCGAGAGCGGGGCCAGTAACCACGACTCAAACTTGGTCAGAGTCTGTTTTATCCCATGCACATGCTCTATCCTCCTGTCATTGTCTTAGCTGGTAATGGTGCCAGTGCAAATACATTTCTTGACCCGTGTTGTGCACGTAATCATGTATGCATGTGTGTAAAAAAAATAAAAATAATGATATAGATATATAAATATATAGATATATCTATATCTATATATAGATATGTATATCTATATATAGATATAGATTTATCTATATATAGATATATTTTGTATGTACGTACACCAATCAGCCATAACATTATGACCACTGACGGGTAAAGTGAATAACATTGATTTTTTTGGTTTCAATGCCCAATGCCACCTGTAAGTGGGTGGGACATATTAGGCAGCCAGTGAACATTTTGAAGTTGTTGCAAGCAGAAAAAATGGACACGTGTAAGGATTTGAGTGACTTTGACGAGGGCCAAATTGTGATGGCTACAAGACTGTGTCAGAGCAACTGCAAAACTGCACCTATTGTGCAATGTTCCCAGTCTGCAGCGGTCAAGACTTACCAAAAGTGGTCCAAAGAAGGAAAAACGGTGAACCAGGGACAGGGTCATGAGCGGCCAAGGCTCCTTGATGCATGTGGGAAGCGAAGGTTGGCCCATGTAGTCTGCACCAATAGAAGAGCTACTGGAGCTCAAATTGCTGAAAAAGTTAATGCTGGTTCCGATAGGTGTTTGAACACACAGTGCATCGCAGTTTGTTGACTTGGCCTCCAAATTTTCCAGAACTCGGTCTAATCGAGCATCTGTTGGATGTGCTGAAAAAAAAAGTCTGATCCATGGAGGCCCCATGTCACAACTTTTATAGGGCTTAAAGGATCTGCTACTGACGGCTTGGTGCCAGATACCACAGAATACCTTCACAGGTCTAGTGGAGTCCATGCGTCGATGGGTCAGGGCTTTTTTTGGCAGCAAAAGGGGGACCTACTCAATATTAGGCAGGTGGTCATAATGCTATGGCTTAATATGTCGGTGTATATGTTAGACATGACTGTTGTCTTCTTCTTTTTATATGTTCCTTACATTTTATACATTGTTTTTTCGATACTTTCTATAAGGATATAGCACAGTTCTTAAGCCTTTCCAAGCAGTTCAACATAAGCTGCAGAGACATAATTGCATATACAAGAAATGAAAAACACATATGTGCCGTTAGTCGGCAGCTAAGCGATATTAATACTGTGAAGTGTGTTTCACACTTAAAGAAGCTCGATAGTGTGCTAGTGTGCTCGACTATGCTCACTGGTGACAAATCTAATGTTGCCAGGATACACAAACAGCTCATTACATAGCATGCTGCTATGTTGCTAACCCAATTTTATCAAAATGTTCTAAAACTTTGTATAAGAATTCATACATAAAAACATATAATCCAATCGGAACTGATTGACATCTGAGGACTTTAGCTAAATAAAAGTTACCCCCTCCAAAAATAAATGAGCATTTGTAGTGGATGCTGAGTGGCACAAAACTTGATGTATCTTTTATCTTTCCTGGGAGCTCCTCCTGGAAGACCTCCTCACTGGACATCACAGCTGCGCTACACTCAAAGTCTAACTACACCAGTTGCATACTACATAAATTCATTAAAAAAATCCACCAGAGAAAGCAAGATCCCATTTTCATGACATTAGGTAGGAGAACCTGGAACGTTTCCAGTGATTTCACATTTGGACTCCGTGTAGTTGTTTGCACTATCTGCCCTAAACCTAAATAATGGTTAGGGGTGGACTGGCATTAACTTAATTTTTTTTGTCTGGATGTCCTTAGGCTTATGGCACTTTTTTGTATTCAGATCAAGATCTGCCATTAATACCTGACAGTCAGTACCTGGTTCATTGACTCTACACCCCTTCAGCATGTCTATGTTGGCCATTGTACTCATACACCCTGTGTGTCCCCAGAGTCCTCTCCCTTGCTTGGCTGTTTGTATAAATTTGCTAACTAGCTTCTCTCTTTCGCTGTCTGAGCTTCCCGCTTCTTTCTTTCTCCTCCGCACGCTGCAGACGATACTAACCTCCTAACGGGCTTTGATATCCCGGACGATACAGAAAAAACAGCTGATGATGAGTTTGATCCTATACCTGTACTGGTATCCAAAAATTCCCAAGGTAAGAAATGGGAAGACATTAGTGGGTGTAAAAGGACGATCTTAAAGGTATAAAATGAATAATTTGCTTCTACCCTTACAATGATCTGGCTTTTTCTGGCATCTCAGGCGTTAAACTGTACTTTAGCAGGCCAATTCGTCTGCACCTCCTTGCGTGCAGTTGTCTGGTCATCCATTCCTGTTGGCTACAGATTTTCTGTTGGTTAATCAATGTTCTGCCATTAGTTTGCCATGAGCTAATGGCATCATTTTACTGTAATGTTATATGAGGTCCTAGGAAAAATGTTAGCTCAGTGCTTATAAGCTGAAGGCGCACAGTCCAAAGCATCCATTTTATTTTTTATGAAAATTTAAGCCAATCACTCAATCACTTTTTTTAGCGTTATTTGTTGCATGAAAGTATTATGTTTGACAAAAGAAGCATTAAAGTGCATTTCCACCTTTACAGCCACTATAATTGTGTTCCCATTCACAAAGCATAGCTAAATATAGGAAAAGCAGTGTGTCGCTCCAAGTTAGTCCATGCTTACCTACTGTAGCCAGGTGCTTGTCCACTTTTACAGACAGCCACTCTACAGGAACATTGGATGACCGGTCACCAACTATGTTCAAACTCTGTTTATTCTTAATAAAAGCATAACACAAGAGCTGAATTGAGACTTCTGACGTCTTTTACTAAGTCCTAGTGTGTGACTAAGCGCCTGTGTGCGTGAAACACGTTAGAGGTCTCAATACATCTCTTGTGTTATGCTTTTATGAAAGGAAAAAAAAAAAAAAAGAGTTGCGATCTAGCTGGTGTGCGGTCATCCAATTTTCCTGTATAGGTACAAAATACATTTTTTAAAATATTGCCTACCTTTCCATTTGGATTATACATAGGACTCTATTCTTCAGAATAACTTGCTGGATAATACACTACATGGACAAGTTGGGGACAATTTTCTTTTTAAAGTGCACCAACATACAATGTACCACCTAAGCCTTAATGTCTTTAACCCATTGTTAGGACAATCTGTGCACATCTGTTTTACAACTGATGAGATCTGCCAACACAGTACAGACAGTGTTATGGTAAACCTTACATTAACATTACATAGAAGGGGAAAGCTGTGTAAGATTTGTATAGGATTTGTCAACAATTAACAAGGTAGGAAGCAGCATTTTTTAATACATTCTAATACGTGAATGGGACATGTAACAGATCTAAAGTAAGTGTTGCCTAATATGGCTGCAAAGTTGGAAATACACTTTCATACAGTAATAGTGGAACAGGGATTGTGTGTAATGCTTAAAGCCTACTCCGGCCAAAACATTATATTTTAAGTGGGAAAGGTAAAGGTTATAAAATCAGATTTTAAAAGTTGATGAGATTTCTCTTCTCCTGTTTTGTCCGATACCCATCACCTGGATAGGAAGTAAGGGAAATTCTCTAACAAGGTCACAGATGACAATAAAATCCTGACAGAGCCTTCCCCAATCTACAAGAAAATGTTTTTTTTATTTTCTGTGCCCCTATTGGAGGGATTCGCTGTCACCTCCTGTTTAAATGTCCCTAATTTAGACTAAATCTAGGTAGAAATGTTTTAAATTGGGGACAGACAGCATAAAAAAAAAGTTAAGAGGTTCAAATCTTTCCACATCACTATTTAAAGCTAAAATGATAAAAACATTTGGCTGAAGATGGACTTTTAATTTACATTTACAACCACGTCCTTATGATGTGATGTTGAAAGCTGCAGGCCTGGCATTTCTTGGGGTCTGTCGGTGTGTACATGAAAAATATCTGATGTTTAGAGAAGGAAACATCTTCCTAGCTATGGATAGCACAAGGGTGTCATGTGTTCTTCTTAGTTTGGAAGAGTTAGTTAACCTTAAGCTGAGTTTGGTTTAACACCTGCATGCCAGATTTGCTTTTCATAATGATGCATGCTTTATGAGCATAGAAATGTAAAGGTTGAGTACAGCTAAAACAGATATTTCGGTACAGGGTAGATGGCCATCTTTACAACATGCGACAGTTGCTTGTCTCTGGGTCTCTAGTACCATGGTATATTTTACCCTCCTTTATTTTATGCAACCCAACCAGTTCAGAATTCCCCCTAAAGTCTCCATTATCTATCAGAAAGAAGCCTGCTGTAGCTGGAGATTTGGATGGTGACTAACTTGTTCTAAGTGGAGCCAAAAAATATATTGATGACCATAGTGGGGGTGTGAGTTTAGAACATATACTGTGAAAATGAGTCAGTTCATGGTTGCCTGGATTAATGCTCTAAGAGCCACAATCCGGCAGTAAATCATGATTCGGCTTCCAAGTATGTAATTTTCCTGATCTACAGAAAATTGCTAATTGATTTTTTCATCTTTAATTGAAGGGTAAATCAAGGGTACACTGGAGCCCCAGCTAAACAGTAGCAACTGATGTGTGCTGTAGAGAACTGGCTGGTTTGGCTGAACTTAACCTTTACGTACAATGACAAACGGTTGCACAATGCTTCTCTCACTGATCCCATGCTTCCTGCCTTTTGCACCTTCTGCTCTGTCTCTGTTTTCAACAACATACTGAATTGCTGTCTCTCCCCCACTTTCCAGGTCCTCACTCTAATAGCAGCAGTGGGAACTCTGAGTCCAGCCTACCAAACATGTCCAGGTCTCTACTACTGGTGGATCAACTCATAGACTTGTAAAGTGCACACACTCTAGCAAAATCCTCCCCCCGCCCCTACAGAGGAGTAACCCTACATATATATATAAATATATAGATAGATAGAGATATATGTACATCTCTTTATTTTTATTTTCAACCTTCTGTGAACTTAAGTGTAGTATGGATCTTCTAAGGAGCCTCTGGCTGACTGAACACATATCCTTGGCGCCTTTCTCATATTGTACAAACTGCTTTTTTTTTTTCCTTAACGGGTAAAAAGACCTGTGTTGTGGAAGGACTGTGTAGAATAAGAGACTGTGTGACTGGTGGGGCGTTAAAGGAATCCCAAAGTGCTTACAGTGTGGAAGTAACGCTCCGTGTCAACGTTTTATTGCTGTACCCTAAAGTCGGTAGATAACAGCTGACCATTGGCCAGCCTCAGCAGTGATGCAGTCTTCGTGATGGCAAGATTGTTGGCCATAAACTCTTAAAGGGAATTTTTCCTCTTCTTCTTCTTTTTTTTATTTTTTTATTTTCACTCTTTGATTTGTTAAATAATTGATTTATGTGTAACAAGGTTTTTGCAATAATACATACATAATAGGTAAACTAGCTTGTATAGCTCCTTTATAATAGCCCTTGGTTTTTTTTCGCATCCGCTTTATTTCTTTTGTTAGTCCTTTTGAGAAATGATTTTATGCACATTTCTCTAATTATTACATATCATCTCTTTATCAGATATGTGTCCACTCTGAGTGGGAGGGGGGGAGGAGCTGATATTCTGTGACGTCAAGCAAGGTGAGACCCTTGTTCCTGCCACTTGCCGGCATAATGATCTCTAGTTGTTTGACAGTGTTGTGGGTATGACGCTTTAAAAAGCTGCTTCATTACCTCCAGATTTGTGGATTCTGTAATAATTACACTAATGCATTACACTTGCTTACAGTGTTATTTGCCTTTTACTTCTGTGTCCCAATCCTTCACAGTCCAGCTCTCTGAGAAATCCCCATGCAGTTCTGTGGGCTCAACAACTAGCACGGGGTTAGTTGTTAAATCGACTGTAAGTGTAAAGAAACTTTGCAGATGAATATCAAGTCAGTTTCGGATATTGTTTTCTGGTAAGGTTTCTGTTTGAGCTGACTGTCTACAGTGGTTCTTGAATGTTTGTGAATTTTTACTATTGCTGAATAAATATGACCTAAAATATGATCTGTTTTTCGATGATAAAGAGAAACCAATTAAAACCAAGTCAACAACCTACTGTTTTTTTACTGTATTTATTGAGGAAAATGATCCAACTATATTATCCGCAAGGAGTTTGCATGTTCTCCCAGTGCTTGTGTGGGTTTCCTCCGGGTACTCCGGTTTCCTCCCACACTCCAAAGACATGCTGGAAGGTTAATTGGCTCCTGTCTAAATTGTATTGTATGTATGAATGTGTGATAAAGGACCGGAGACTGTAAGCTCCTTGAGAGTGAGAATGTGCAGTATGTAAAGCACTGTTGGCGCTATATAAACACCATAATAAACAATTAAAAAAACATTTTTTTTTTTGCTTGGTAAAAGTATCAGAACCTTTGCTATCAGAAGAATAGAGTGGAATCTTTTTACTAATGTGGCAAAGATTTACTCCTTGTAGATCTGTCACACACCTGACCCAAGTGAGATCTTTGTCAGTACAATATTGCTTTATAACCTATGGTTAATTTAAATGGTTTTCTGAGCTATGAACTGGGTCAATTGGCCTGGAGTTCTTTGAGATCTACAGTATTTCATACCTTGCTTATGGTATCATCTTTGTTGGTCAACCACTCTTGGTGAAGGGAACAGTGGTGTATAATTGCCATTTGTACACAACCTGTTTGACATTGGACTGGGGAAGTTCACATTCTTTAGAAAAGGTTTTATAACCTTTTCAGACTGGAGAGCATCAAAAACAGTTTTTTAGTGGTCTTTCTTTGAGTCATGACAAACTTCCACAAACCAGTGTTAAGACCAGACTTGGCTGGTGAGAACCCTAACGTCAATCTTTAAGGCATGGGCCTCCCATGCTCACCCATGAACATCATCCCATTGTTTAAAACTCGTAATTCTGATTTCCCCCTTAAATGATGAGCCGTAAAACTTAGAGGTTTACATACTTTTGCCACACAAACTTTGGATCGCTTTCCTCAAACAAGTGAACAAGTATGCTTTTGCCTCCTATGTTTAATTGGGTTCTTGCTATCTAATTTAAGGATTTATATCAAAACCAAATCACATTTTAGGTCATATTTGCACAAAAATGTGAAAAATTCTAAAAGGTTCACAAACTTTAAAGCACTACTGTATGGATCAGAAGAACAGCGAGAAACGTA